CCCGCAGGCCCTGCCCGGGGCCGGGGCGGGCCGGAGGGGCTGGGCGCGCCGAGCGCCCCCGGGAGCGCGGAGCCGGGCGCTCACTCCCCCGGGTGGGGTGGGGGAGCGGCTGTCACTCCGCGCGGCAGCGGCAGCATCAGCACCAGCACTGGCAGCGGCATCTCCATCCCGATCCCTACCCATTCCGGTCCCCGGGATGGGGCAGCCCTGACCCCCGGGCGGTGGTCGCTGGCCCCTCATCCTTAGGAACCAGAGGGCTGGCGTAGGATCCCCTCAAGTTCATAAAATAACCACTTTTGCCTGCCTCATCCGACGCATTTTTTTCTTCAGGTCTCGGCCTTGTGGCATCGCGGCGTCAGCGGGTCGGGGTGGGTAGGAGGGTACCGCGCTGACGGAGCGAAAAGTTTGGAGCCAGGATTCAACAGGGTGGAACTCCCCGGGATCTCCCCTCCCCGCACCCCCCCCCCGCCCCCCAGCAACTGCTGGTCCTTTGCGCCGTTTGCGACTAGCTACCGTGTATCTTATCTTTAACGGACACAAAAAACCCAGGCTGTAGAAATACAGTGTGGAGCAGCCCAGCCCAGCGCAAGTCACATCCTGTGCCTTCTACGGTGCGACCTGTGACAACTGTGCTCTTTCTGGCAAAAATGGAAAAGAAGTCATAATCAAGTATTGACCTGTTTGGGGATTGTAGTAGGGAAATTCTATTTTCGTGGGGAAATATACCCTATCTGATGAGTAGAACATCCTGAAGGAGGTCTGAGAATGGACAGGGGGACACACAGGCTGACTGCTACAAAGTTTTGGGTGTTGGGCAGTGACTGCTATGGCCATGGCGTGGTGCTGGGACCCTGTGGAGGATGCAGGGAGAGTCAGAGACCAGCCCTCAGAGAATTCCCGGTAGAGGGAGGTGGTGGGGTAGGGATGGGGGTGTGAACACCCACCATACCTAGAGAAGAAAAAAAAAAGGGTCATCAGAATTAGGAATGAAAGATTCCTTCCATCTAAAGTGGTTGGTGAAGACATTTGGAAATTGGGCATTTTAGACCTGGACTTTGAAGAACTGAAAGGTTTGACGACACAGAGTCAGGTGCTGAAGGGACTTGCAGGTGGAAGGGACAGCATAAGTGATGGTGGACTTACTCTGAGCATGCATAGTTGCCAGTGAGTGGTTGGGGCACTGAGGATATAAGAGGGAGCAGTGGGATTTCACAGAGTAGTTTGGCGGTGGCTTCAAAGGGCAGGCTGAGTAGGGACTCTCTCCCTCCACACTGGGTCCTCAGTGGTATTGAACAGGGAAGTCACATGAGCACGCATCTTCTGAAAGATTAACTTGTCAGCTATGTTAAGGTCACATAGAAAAGAAGGAGCAAGACTAGAGGCAGGGAGGCCGGGTTGAAAAGATGCAGGTGCTCGGAAGGTGAGCCTTGGCGGCACTGGCTTGGATCAGAGAGAGGAAGGCCAGCACCGCTGGGCAGGTGGAGGAGCCGACTTGCACTGCTTATTTGAGGTGAGGGTGAAGGAGGAGCCCATGGAGACACGCAGGGGAGGAGCCTGAGTAGTTCCAAGGAAGGAGATTCCGTCAGGAGCAGTAGGGAGTCTTGGAAGAACAGATGAGTTCCCTGTCCGGAACACTGAGTGGGAACATGGCTGGTTTGAAAACAGCTTTGCCAGTTTACTTGAGACTGAAGTCCACAGGATCCACCCGTTCAGCTGCTTAAAAATTAACAGCAAATTGATTGATTTAAATGTTATGACATTAGGAAAAGCAAAGGAAGTTAAATGAAGATATTTTAGTCCAGTATAGTTTATATTGGAAGTAGGAATAAAATCGGAGGTGTTGTATTATGTATATGTGTGTATACATATATACACACTCACACACACACCATTACATCCCTGTTTAGGGCGTTTTGTCCATTACATTGTTCTGTGAGCTGCATGGAGTAAATACTGAGCAGCTGCCGTGCTTGGCGGTGCTGAGCACACGAGTGCCTGTGCCTTGCATCGCGGGACACTTGAGTTGTGCAAGTGCAGGGGATTGTTTTTGTTATTTGTAAACACCTGGCCTGCTTGGTAGACAGTGATGTCTGTGTCTTTTTTCTGTTGGCAGAGATATCTTGAGCACAGTGAGAACTAATCAAGTGAAAATTCCTTGAGGTGGTTGCCGTTTCTCTTATCCACCGTCTTGTCTTTGCGCGGTCCTCTGCGGTAACATTCAGATCTGTGCGGCATGTTGTTTTTGTACCCTGTGAATCTCTGACTTCTTTGGAGAAATGGTATAGTTCCAAGTGATGCGGCTGGAGGTTTGAGCCCAGAGAGATTTCAGATTGGACTGGCATTTCACAACCAAGAGAGGCAAGGCACGTGACCTTGGTACCCAGAGTCCTGCTCTCACAGGCAGGAGTCACATGATGCTTCTTTAAGTGCCTCCTCCTCCTACCTCACTCCACTCCCCAGATGTTGTTGCTTTGCAAAGAGTAAGAACTTGGTAAACACAGGCCAATGGATGGGAAGACACCAAGATTTATTTCTGCTGCTAGTCTGTGTCCAGGATACCATGGTGACAGGCTGTCACTTCCCCACCCTGACCCCCCTGTTCCTGTTTTCCCAGCTGACCGCTGCACACCAGCAGACCCAATGGCGATGGCACTTGTCTGTGATGCGTGGCAGGTGCACTCTGGGGTCTAGGTGATGACAGGTGAAGTTGGAATCTGCACATTCTCATGTGTTCAGGTGATCTGAGCCAAGTTCAGACCTCTAACCTGCCCCTTCTAGGTCCCCTGTTTGGGTTTAAGGATTCTACCAGGTACCGTGGGGGCAGAGTGGTTTTGGGAGAAGGAAGGACTTGGCTCCTAGACATTCTCCTCGTGGGACCCACCACGGTCTCCACGGTCTGGTTCCCAGCTCCTGGGGGCTCTCACACTTCCCTGCTCCTTGGTCATTTGCAGTCGCTCCCTTGATTGCTGCAGTGGCTGGTTTTCTCTGTTCTTTCTGGCCAGAAGTGACTTCTCTTAGAAGCCCTAGACTCTTCTGTTCTGTGTGTATGTATTATTTGATTCACTTCCTTTTGGGTGATATTGAAGCATTTCTGGTTTGTATGAAATAGCGAAGGTCTGAATTAGTTTCACGCATGAAGGGGTACCTGCACCTGAAGTGACACTGTGTAGAATTTTTCTAATCCCATTGTTTCCACCTTAGTCTTTTGTAACTTAAGCATGAGGGAATCAGGTACAAATTCAGACCAGAGATCATTAGGAATTACGAATTATCTGGACATCCTCAAGAATGAGGATTTGCAGAGTATTAGAAGGTTTGCATATTTTTTAAAAATTCAGAGGCATGTTTAAGAGATTTAGAATTTCTACTTTTTTTTTCCTGAAAGCAATTATTAGATTTTTTTTTCCCCTCCAGGTTTCTAGTCTTTGGCATTTTAATTTGGGATTTTCTGTGTAGTACAGGAGGATTCTCGGGGAAAATTGCCTTCGATGGAGGGATATTTGGATGAGTTCAACAAACACATTGAATACCTTTGATGTACTAAACGCTGTGCAGGGCACAGGGCAATGTGAAGATATGTCCCTTGACCTCAGGGAGCTCTGAGTCTGATGGGGGAGACATGGGTGGACCAAGTTTACAGCAAAAGATGGAACAAAATGAACACTGAGTGGGTGTGTATGTATCATGATGGGAACCCAGAGGAGGCCTCATAGGGAGGTAGCTTCTGAAAAGGACCTCTCGAAAAGAGAGATTTTGGCCTATAGAGAATTTAGGAAGGGTCACTTAGAGCTGGGGTGGGGGGTGTTGGGAGATTTGTGAAAGTAGGGAGGGCCATCAAGTGATGGTCTTCTCAGTGCTCTTGGGGACCCAGATGGGCACCCAAGAATCGTGGGGTAGAGTTAGAGCTTTGGAGAGATGCTTCTGTGCTTGCAAGCTGTCCAGAGCGCTGCCTCAGATAGAGGCGGCACCCCTAAACTGGCTGAGCACACATCCAGTGTCTTTACATGCTGCATTTCATGGTATCTAGAAATCTACTGATTGTGAGAGACATCATTATTCTATGTGCTTTCAAGAAAAAACTGCTGCCAATTCAACTCTTACTATCAATTTAAAAATATATTTTCATTTCAGTGATTTTTTTAAAGTGTATTTAGAATCAGTAAACTACCGTGCACTAAGAAAAAGTAAATTTTGCTGCCTGACCAGTTACTTATATGTAAAACATGGTCTTTTTTTTAATTAAACTATGTCAAGTTTGCAGGGTATTGCATGTGCCAGGGAGCCTAGTGATGAACCCAGAGCCTTTTAGCTTCTGTGAAATGATAGGACTGATATCCAAAAAAGAGGTTTACTTATTCCTCAGTCAGTATTTTTTAAGCAGCTGCTCTGTGCTAGCTTCTGGGGATACGGTGCTGAGCAGGGGAAGTATGGCCCCTGCCATCGTGCCGCTTACGGCCGAGTCGGGCAGGTAGTCCCGGAGAATCACACAAATATGTTAGTTACGAAATGTGTTAATGCTGTGCAGAAGTGAAGGCCTCTTTCAGTCCAGGTCTGAGGAATGAAGAGAAACGTGGGGAAGTGCATTCCAGACACAGGGAAGAGCCTCTGCAAAGGCTCTGAGGTCG